GGACGAGTGGATTTTTCGAGCCCTGTATACCCCCCTCCCTGTATACCCCCTCCCTGTATATATATATATATATATATACAGAGTATGTATACAGTTGTAATCAACATTATTCAACCCCCATTGCAAATTAGGTTTATTGGCAAAATGTACAAACTTTCAGTTGTTTGCAATTGAAAACATCAGTTTAAAAAATGAAATTAAAATGAAATGTTTTCAAACACTTACATACACTGTGTTCCATTTAGGGGTTTCACACACCAAATCCAGTGCGTTCCAGCATGGTTAGTGGCTGGAACGCACTGGATTGCATAGAGCAAGCCTCCCTGCATTCTGGGATGGGAGGGCTTGTGGTGGTGCATTCAAGTCAATGGCAACGCAGCCACGCCAGAACATGATCGCCCACACCAGAACATGATCGCAAAAAATAGTGCATGCACAACAAGCCCCTAAAGTAGGGCACATCATACTTGCCATCCTTCTTGTTGCGTCATTCTGTTGCTGTCAAGTTTTCTTTTGGTTTCTTCAGCCATGTTGATTGGCTGGCCAGGGACTAGGTCATAAATGCATTCTGGCACCCGAGGCATGGAGTTACTGTGACAATGAAATCACAAAAGCCTTATTTACTTTCAACCACATGGAAAACCAGAGAAATGGCCCCTAGTAATCTACCAGAGACATGCACAAACTCAGTGTAGCTCCAGAAGAAAATTCCTTGCAGGTAAGCCATACACTGTTATGGCAGAGGAGACATACAGCGTCTCTTCTGCAATAAAAGCCTGCCTGATAGCAATTTTTCTATTAGCACTTTAGATCTGTTTTAGGACACTTTTATAAATGAGGCACAATGTGCTCATTTTATGTCTACAATATGCTTACAATCACTACAATCACTATCTCACCCTACATAATTAATTCAGGTATGCTATTCATCTCCACTTTAAGTAGAGGCATGGTGGACCATGTTCACGAGCCATGTCAAAGATTACATTCGCTCTTTCTGTGATTTTAGAACTCTGGAGGAAGATCTCTCTTGTTATAACATGCACTTATATTATGGATCTGGCCTGGAGAAGGAGGAACGAGCCATCAGGTATATATTTTACAAAGTGACCTTCTGCTGAACTGAAAATAATCCTAAGGATCATGGCCTTTTAAAATTCATATTTTAAATTATTTTCAAGAAAAATATCTGTCGTATTGACATGCAATAAAATGCTGTAACAAAGCAATGCAGACTCATAATCCATAGCACAATCCATAGCGGATAGTCAATCATTTTTATTTGATGTAATAATAAATAAAGTTTATTTTTGGTTGGATTTTAAGTCTTTCTGCACATTGCCAACCCTTTTCACATCTTTTAAAATGGGCTTGACTTTATCAAAAGCCAGTGTTTTATTTGGCTGTGTTTATATTTATTGGGGACACAGTTTACAATGTCCTGAGATTGAAATTTAGAAAGTTACACTCTAATTGGTAACCAGAATGTATCACCGTATTGAATAGCTAACATACGGGCATGCACATTCTTAAAACCAAGATCTGCCTATTACTAACATTGCCAGTTATGATACAAGTAACTCATCAGGAACAAATAAATGATTGTCATTTGTTTACTAAAGTAGTAGAGGTTGCAGAGTGAAAGTTTACTGAGGTTAGTAAATAAGGTACAGCAGTGTTTGCTTCAATATTCCTATCATGAAAAAGAAAAAAAAAGCAGTTTTTGCTGTTACAGAAGGGGACTCAGGTTTGTTTACTAAAGGATTAGAGAATTTTAATTTTGTAAAGTGATTGTTCACTGAACTTCATGAAAAGGCTCAATTCTGCTTTAAATTTAGTGAACATTCTCTTTTAAAAATGGAAATTCTCTAATCCTTTAGAATATCAACCCAGTGAGTCCTCTTTAGTAGCAGAGCAATGTGCAACATAATGGCAACCCATAATGAAAAATCACCATTAAACTTTTATCAGCAAAGTGAAATGAGATTGTTTAGGGTTACTACGTCTTGCAGCCCAGCTTTGGTATTTGCACAGTTTAAAAAAAAAAATATGACGTAGATCAATGCCAATTGTCAATACAATTTGCACTGAAAAAATTGTGTAAATCTTAATTTCAATTATCCAGTCTGTAGAAAGTAAATCCCTGTCCAATTTAAATAGACAGTCATGTACAGATATTATTGACCTCATGGTTGAGTGAAAATTCTCAACTCCTTTAGTAAATCAGCCTCAGCGAGTTGACTAAAATACTCTAACATTGATTTTATCTATTGCTAGTAGTTTCAGTATTAGGGATAGCTCTGTGGTTAAGCAGAATGTCACCTAGGAAAGCTGCTAAAAAAACATTCCATCTTGGTTGTGAGAGCTGTAGCTGTAATTACTGGAATGTGTGGAATATATGTACAAAGTATTTTTTGGCCTCATATGCCTTAACTGTTTGAAGTGAAAATGTGGTATTGTTCATATCAAACAAGCAGACTTGTTTCTTAATTTGTAACTTGCTCTAGGTCACTGATCTGACGTCTATAGGTCAGGATAATGCCCCTGGTCCCTGGACTCATGCTGGCCAAACAAGTATCAGTTTTACATTAAGATCATCAGATTTTACTGGTATTTTTGATTAGCTTTGTAACTGTTTGCTTATGCTGGTACTACATATACCCATGCTTGCTATTTTGCTTTCTTTACAAATTAAAAACTGCAGTCCGTCTCATCAAAACAAGTACTGGATTGTTTTCATGATCTGAAAAAATCAGATCCAAGCAATGGTTATAGCGTACTCAAAAAATCCATGTTTAAATTTAATTAAAAATGCCCACATTTCCAAACTTTTGTTCAATTAATCTTGAATAAATAGATTGAAAGTGATTATAATACTGTGCATGCATGCTTCAAACTATTTCATACAGCGCAATATTGAAGGAAATCTACTGAAACAATATGGGGTCTATTCACAAAGCTGCCTTGGGCAGCCAAGTGAATAACCGACCCGAGGTGAAGTGAGCCGAGCGCTGTTCGGCTATTCACTTCAGGCTTGTATGGCTGATTTCAGCCCTACACCGACTAAAATCAGCTGTACATCGGCTTCCTGTGGCTGGCTTCGTGGCAGCCAAACATGCTCAGCATGTTCGGCCGACCCGAAGTGCAGAAGGAGTTCGATTCAGCCGATCCACCATCTGGATCGGCTGAGCCGAACCTCTGGCAGGCTACTCGCTGCTGTTCAGCCTATTCTCATAGATGCCGAACAGCAGTGAGTGAATAGCCGAATGCTGCCGAGCGGCATTCTTCGGCTCGGCTATTCTGCTCGGTACCTCTGCTGTACCGAGCAGAATAGAAAAACAGTTAAAAAAGTAGAAAAAATAAAATAGAAAACGATATGGTGGAGCTAGCAGTAACAGCTAGCTCCGCCCAACTGTTTTCTATTGGTCGGGCGGGTCTGCTGCCATCAGAATAATCATTTTTTTTTAAACCACCATAGGAATGCATAGCTAGATTCCTATTGGCTATTTCACTTTGCAATAGCCAATAGCAAACTAGCTATGGCACCCGCCCTCTGCTGCTGTCAATCACCAGAAGGGAACCTGAAGTTCTCCATCAGGTCCCCTTCGCATCAGTTCGCGTCATCCCTAAATTTTACAGTTGGGGGTCACCACAACTTGGCAAAGAGAACTGCAGGTCCCCCTCTGCTGATTGACAACAGCAGTGGGCGGGTGCAATAGCTAGTTTGCTATTGGCTATTGCAAAGTGAAACAGCCAATAGGAATCTAGCTATGCATTCTTATGCTGGCTTTTTTTTTTCTGTTTGAGGGCGGCCAGCGGCCCATGTCAGAAAAAAAAAAGATCGCAAGGAAAGGTTTACTCTGCTTGATCGAGCAGAGTAAACCTTTCCGGGAGAAAGTGTTTCTCTCCTGGGCGGCCGGGAGCCGTATTATACTCCTAGAGCATCCAGGAGAGTAATGACAGATCAGCGTCCCTGGTTACCTGGTAAGCCATCTGTCATTACACACTGAGAACCCAGAGAGGCCATTGTGATATCATAGCGGCCCCACCAGGTTCTCAGTGTGTAATGACAGATGGTGTCCCCGGTTACCTGGTAACCAGGGACGCTGATCTCTCCAAGTGGCTGGAGCCAGCCGTGAGATGATGGCTGGCTCCGCCCAGCTCTCACAAGCAGGCTGTTAACCGGCCAATGGCCGGCCGTTCGGCCAGCTTCGACTTTCACCTCGACTTTCACCTTACTTAAGACTCTATTCACTAAGCTGCCATAGGCTGCTGTTCGGCTATTCACTTCAGGCTGGTACGGCTGATTTCAGACGTATATCGGCTAAAACCAACCGTACATCGACTTGCTTCGCATGGCTTTGGGTCGGCTGAACATGCTCAGCATGTTCGGCTGACCCGAAGTGCAGAAGGAGTTCAACTCAGCCGATCCAACATCTGGATCGGCTGAGCCGAACCTCCGGCAGGCTACTCACTGCTGTTCGG